ATTTATTATTTGTGAAATTCCTTTTCACATTATTGAAAATCCATTCTTTATTGAACTGTTAAAAACTTTACATCTGGTATATGAACCTTCATCAAAAAATATTCTTTTTGGATGACATTTAGTGTAAGAAATAGCTTTTATTAATCAAGAAATAATTAAACAATTAAAAATTCTGAGAATCTAACGTTAGGTAAGTTTTTTTTTTTATTTTTTATTTTTATATTTTTTATAAATTAAATTCTAAAAATTATAATTAATTAATTATTTAGCTTGTGATGGATGGAGTAATTCTTCTAATAAATCAATTTAAAATTTTATTTTACATTATGACGGGTAAAATTTTAGATAGATTTAATTGGTAGAATATGAAGTTAATTTTATTGCTATGTAGATCTTCTATGAAGATTATTTTATCCATTTTATTGCCGTTGATAAATTATGTAAATTCTTAGATATCAATTTTATTGTCTTTAATAATCACGTAGATCATAAATATTCATTTAGTTGCTTGTAGATCTGGCAATTTTATTGATACGGCAACTTTATTGCCTAGCGAAATGGCAATTTTATTTCCTTTGATATATTTAGTTTAGTTTATTTTATTATTTATTCAACATATATAAATATCTCTGTATTTTCTTTGAGTTTCAGCACTGACGAAATATTAATATTTTAGGTACTGAACTTATATATTATATTAATAAAGGAGTATAATTAACCAAGTATAAAACTTATCCTTTGCAAACCTATTGAAACTATTATGAATTATCTGTGATCCTTTGCATTTGTGCAATTCCTTTTGTTAGTAAACTTATTATATGATATTGTATTGATTCGCTGTATTGACTTGGAGTCTCTGAAGTGTAATTTCTGAAATATCTTTGAGTTATCTTTGTGTTTATTTTGTGTTTATATTTCATGTTTTATTATTGAGAATAATTCTTTAATGTTATTATGAATTCTTACTCATGATTCCTTGAGTAATTGTCTTAGTTTTATTTACCCTTTTGAGATTTTATTTGAAGTTACAAAACTAACGTAACAATGATGTACATATTTCACCTATGGATATAGAAAAATCTCTTAATTTTATGGATTCAGTAATAGATCATAAAATGAAAACTTCCAATGAACTCACCAATCCAATTTCATGTAATAATCCATTATATCGTATCTTAGTTGGTACTGTTAGAGGAATTGCAGTTATTATGGAACAGTGTGTTTTAGAGCTTTTGAAAATAAAGAGATCTTTTGCTTCAGCAGAACAAGCTAAAGAAATTTAGAGAATTCTTGTTGATTGGGCAAAGCGAAAGTATACAATTGATAATTGGTTAGATTGTGTTAGAGGAAGAAAAGATCCACAAGACATTATAGATGAAAAACGTAAAAAGGCCATATTGATGCTTATATTTTAGATCCATACTCAAAAGCTGATCATCAAGGACATTTCTCTGGATGATAGTACTGTAGAGATCATGAAGCCGGAGTTCTTATTTTTTTAGAAAAGATTAATTACACTGAATATAAAGCTAAAGCCCCTCTTATATTAATTGTATCTCTTGTCTCAACTTAGAGTTAGATTTCTTTGATAATATTGTCTTAGATCCATTTTTCCGACTAGATGAAGAATCTTTCCTAAAATTTATTTTACATATGCATCTGATTACATACAGATTGCCGGATTTGATTGGAATTCATCAAATGACCATTAAAGAAATTTACTTTGGGTGTCTCTTGGCATCAAATGAAATATTATCCAAGACAATTGACATCCAATCTAATGTAAATTATAGATCAGAACCCTTAAAAAAGAAAAAACATGATCCCGATAATCCATTCACTTGGAATAAATTAATTGACCGTAAAAAAGTATCTGTTATCACAACAGGCCGTTTCATCATGTTCGTTCGTAGTCGTAGTGGATCATCTGACTCACTAACATCACATGCAGAAGAGCAGTATAAATTTAGTTCTGCTATTGAATCAGGTTTTCCTGTTCATAAAATACCTACAGGAGAGTTTACATTGGAAGATTTTAAAAAAGAATTAAAGAAGGCTACGGAAGGTTGTGAATGTTTTATAGTGATAACTGTAAAGCGGTTTTTACATGAAGTTAACGAGCTTCCCTCAAGAGTCTCAAGAGACTTAACAACAAGAACTAGCATTGTGTTTGGAGATCAGTTTTTGGAGTTTATGGGAATATACGGAGACTTTACAAGATTTATTGCTGGAGAAGTATCGGATGAGAGGGAGGAAGATAAAGTATTAGAAATGATGATGGATGTGGGTAAGGAAGAATCAGAAATGATAGTTGATGATTAAGCATCGCAATTGCGTAGTAATGCATGCGAAAGAAAAAATATTTTCTTGTACGATCATTATTACTTCCGTTTAGTAAAATTTTATGATTATAATTTGTGAAATAAAATTAAGAATTTAATTTAAAATTTTCGCGTTTCTTTTTAAGTACACAGGTTAAAAAGATAAAGCGAAAATTTTATTTTTAGTAAAATAAATGAGTTATGGAGATAAAAATTTTCGTTTATTTGTTACTTGCACAAGGCGAATAAGAGAGTTCGCTAATAAAGGGTAAAGATTAGAGGAATAAAATAAATTATTACCTAAGTTAGTTTTAATTACGTGAAATTACGAATGACTACAATAATCTTGATTTGTTTGAAAAAAAAAGTTTTTTCGATTTAAAACTATATTCTTCTCGGTTATTAATAATAAAGACATGTTATTAAACTAAAAGTAAATTCAATGCGTGATGATGCACTTATGTACCTCTAATCGAAATATTATTTATTAGGAAGAACTTATCCAAAATTCCATCACTTTTTTCAACGATTGTTTCCAAAGTTTATTCTTAGACAACGCTTTTCCATTCACAAATACCACCAAAAGAACCTTTGTTTGAGTAACAGCAACGCAGAACCGTCTCGGTTCCCCAAGGAATGAAACAGATTCTGTTCGAACAGCTGAAATAATGATCACGCGCCTTTCTTGACCTTGAAATTTCTGCACTGAACCTATATTCACCCAGAAATGTTCTTTTTTTCATCAATAACTTGATCCTTTCAACCTGTTTAACGTAGGGCGTGACCAATTTCTTCTAATTTGACATTTTCTTCCCGAAGTTTTACTATAATATCTAATACATAACCGGCCTTGTAAGCATTGAACCGAGATGGGATTGGCTCTCTTGATTTTCTACCCCAGAATATGATCAGGTACTTCTTTGTAGGGAGGCGAGAAAAGTTACCTAAGTTATTAGTGATTTTTTGTCAGCTGAGGGTATAAGATCATTGTTATAGAACTTAGAACTAGTAAAGTTTAGGATTTTAGGGTATGAGCGGTAGTTAATCCAGAGTTTAACCCCGTAAATACTTGTATCGACAAAACCATAATATTCGATTTTCTCAAGGCGTTCAATCATAGATTATCCGAGTCAAAGCCTATTTTCGATTGGAAGTTCACCTAATTGCGTTAGCTCACCTGCTAAAATAATTTTGTGATCTGGTTACGATTTTCGGTTCTATTGCTTGCCCTGCCTATTACGTAATAAAATAACGAATATCACCAGAAAGCCAATTGATATGCTATTTTGTAAAAAATTAAATACCTTATCAATAAAAATATGCGTGTAAGGCTTCTTTTCTCCAAGTAAATACACAGTTCTCACAGTGATACAAGTAGTCACGACAACCTGATGATTCTCAATATAGCTCACGGTCGGAAGTTTGTGTAATTACCGTTTTGGTCTATTACACAATAGCGATGAAATTCCTGTTCGACTTTTTTAGGTTCCTGCGAAATGACGTTGATTCGAATCATTTTTTGTGAGACAAACGTATACTCAACCAATTAGTGGCCGCATTTGTCGCCATGCGAGAGAGAATCCTGGTAGTAGGATTATCATCAAGAAGCTGTCACATTGCTTCAACGATGGTGGAAGATTTGCCTGTAACGTTAATAGCAATCATAAATAAATATATTTGAAATCATGCGAAAAGTTATTAGCCTGTTTGTTCCTGGCGGACTAAAGACAATAAAGGGTCAGGGATGATGATTTCCTGATTTGATTGATTATGGCTACCGCACGGCTTTGGTAAGAATTCAGTGTAGTGTAGAATTTGATGCAGAGGATTTTTGATGGTTCTGAGGGAATAAACGACTAAAGTCTACTTTGGATTTCCTGACGGTTTGATGCATCCTTCTTATTGATGCGTCGATTTTAAGGTGAATAGGACATCGAATCTCGCTTTCAACTTGTACATATCCTGCAAAATGACTCATCAAAATTTAAGACAATGTTACTTTTAAGGACTTCGTTCACGAACCCTTGGTACACGTCTGCTTTCTTATCCCACATCTCGCAACAAGGATATAATCACCAGGGAGCACTGATGGGCACTTCTCTGCGAGTGCAAGTTTTAGACATTTGCAATTCAAAATATTCCCCAGGTCGTTTCAATGCTCTAGTTGTACTTTCGTTAGGTCATCTTTGTCCATTTTGTTGCACTCTTCAGCATAGAGTAGTTCTTCAAAGAACTTAATGTAATTATTGGCATTCAACTGAATGTTAAGTCATTTAAGGACATCCTTGTTAGGCTTTTTAAAAAATATTCTCAACTCATTGGGCAACTCATACTTGATTAACTGGATTTTGTATGTTACTGTCGGATTGAAATTGATGGATTTTCCGTAAACGATATTCCTATTTTCCATGAAATCATCGTTACCTGGCTTGAGTTTATAGGGTGGCTTGGCATGAGAAGTTCAACAACGACAGTTAGAATTGTTCAAAACCTTTTATTGACCACTAAATAACCAAGAGCACTTTTTTCCAACAGAAATAGAAATTACGCACGCATAAATTAAAAACATTGCCAATTTTGTGATTGACAACCTGGCTAGCTGCAAAATATCGAAAACGATTTACATGCAAAATTATGGAGTTTCCGGGCGAAATTAATATTCAATGTAACAGTACCAAAATTGAAAGGTCAAGCTTTTCGACCACACAAAAGATGCAAGCAATTTTGAAGGACACATATATGAGGCTTCAACTATTAAAGGGGGAAGGGAGAAATAACTATTATTAAAGGTGCAATTATGTAGAATAGTTATAATAATAGTCATGGTTGGGTCATTATTATTACGTCTTGTTAAGTAGAATCAACCTGGGTTATTACAATTATAAAAACTCATTGAAAAATTTAGAAAAAGATTTTCAAATATCTTTTTGTCAAAAATATTAATATCACATTAAAATTGAACTTTATTATTTTTTTTTACTGTTAAAAATAATCATTTGCTTTACTGTTTTTTTAAAATCTTTTTTTATAAAGAAATCTTCCGTCAATAATTTTTTTTTTTTAACAATGTGCTTTTAAAGTTTTCTATTCCAAATTCCATTTATTTTTTAAGTCCAGCTTAAAACTTTGCTACATGTATTAAAAATTAGACAATCATATCGATCTCGTCTCTATTAAGCAAACCAATCCGAAACTTTTGTGTAGCAAACCTTATTTCAGTATAAAGTTAGGATATTTCTATACATCTGTTCCTAAAGTTTAATGGCTAATGAAGTTTGTGAATTTGGAACGGAAAAGAAATTAGCATCACATGCGTTGAAAAAATGAATTTTCGTGTCCGTCACGTTCTTCAGGATATAGCGAAACAAACTCAGAAGCGATAGCGACACGGCAGTAAATCATTATAATAAACTTTTTTTTTTTTAAAAAATAAATTTAAATGGTGAGATATTTATCTTAAGTATAACCATGTAATATAAGTTGTACTGTCAAAGAATTTAGGAAAAGCTGATTATAATGTAACACTAATTCCATAAATCCAAGTTTGAATTATTGGGGTACATTTTCGGAGAAATTACTAAATAGTGGATTAAATTGTCATGAATGTAAAGTAATGCGAGCATTGTTGACGTGCCATCCTGTCGTTGAGGCCACCTTTATTATCAAATAAATTGAAGGTACGTCTATGCACAGAGGTTTAATTGGTTTTAGAAATCGTAAAATTACAAATATATATATAATAAAAATAATCAACATATTGTAAATACATGCTCAACAATCCGATTATAATTAACTAGTCAAAATAAAATATCAGATATGTAATGAATGGAAGTAAAAGCTGCCTCATTGTCATGAACAATCAAAAGGGTGACTTAGGATATATAATTATGATAATATAATTGTAAGAAACTTACATTTAATTTATTAAATTAAAAAAGTTTAAAAGAAAATTTTTATTTTGATTATTATAGCTAGCTTAACGTATTTAATTATGACGAACAAACTAATTTCGTACACATATTAAATATTCAAATCCTTGGATAGTACTCTATTCCAGACTTCATTTTTATTTATTGGACGTGTAAAAATTTATAACCTTGCTAACGGTCAGATGTTTCTCAATTTCCTGCAAATAAAAATAAACAAAAAATTTAAGCACAACTGATGGCACTTGTATTGTTGCATTTGTAAAGTGCAGTGTGGCGAATCATCGGAAATAAGAAGTACTACACAAAAAAGTGTTGAATCCCTCAAAGGTATAGTTAAAGATTAGCAGTCTTTAGAAATCATGTAATTTTATTTATTTAATTTTAACTTCTTTTTAAAAAAATTTGTTAGTTATTGAAATGCCCACAAATTTGCAATCCTTGGAATAATTATAAATTTAATGTCGCAACGCAATAATGTAAAATTTTTCTTACAACATTGATAAACCATTCCAAAAATAATCATTCCACCAATAATGGTGATAATCAGAGTGTTGTTAATTGGATTAACCGTTTGGCAACCAATATAGTAAACATTAAAGGATTACCAAAAGTATTATTTGGATCAAAATTTTATTCTGAGCTTAGGGTCAATTATAAAAACATTTTTAGCTTGGTGTTACTATAAGTTTGTATCGAACTTTTCAAAGGACTAAAAATAATAGAAATATTCAAATGATACCATTGTAATGAAAATTAAATTTTTGCTTCGCAGAACCTTCAGCAAATTAGTTCGAATTTTCGTAAATGATTGATTTGAATTACAAAGGTGAGAATAAAAGGAGTTTTTTTTTGTTTGGATTTTATTTTTTATGTGTTTCCGAGAAACTTTGGAGGATTTTAAAAATTTATTTTGAGAGGGTTCTGAAGTATTCCTGGAATTTGGAAAAGTTTTAGCTTCTGATAATAGAATCCTATGCCTTTTATGATTGACAATTAGGAATTATAAAATTATAAGTTCGACCTGTCCTAATGAATAAATAAATAAGTTTTCCATCTGGTTATTACCCATTTCGGGTTAATCCCCTTCCCCCTAACTTATCAAATGTTATTTTCTGTGAACAACGCTGTAAATTTTTAAATTATATTTTTTCAATACAATTTTTTTATCATGTCTACCTTTATTGCTTTGCTCAGAAACTGAAACATTCCATAGAAAAAAATACTTCAAAATACTTTACAATGAAATAAAGCATTTTGTCCAACAATTATTATGTAAAACGTTGAAAAGAAAGCGTCATGCTTTTTACTATTACCATTAGCAATGACATTCTCATTTATGAAGATATTCGTTGTATTGCTAAAATTCTCCTAAATAATAAAAAGTAAGTAAGTAAACTGAGATAATAAATTTATACAGATGGGTCAAACAGTTCGTCTTGATGGGTTGAGATAATATTAGAATATTCCTGCATAATCTGATTATTCTTACCATGAAATATTTCTCACCAGAATTTGCTTTTCAGAGGATAACGTTAAATTGTTCAGATCCTATGGAATAAAGTAATGCCATCATCGGCATTACCATCATCGCCGTCACCTGGCAGTATTAGGAAAGAAACAAAACATTGTTGTCAACTTCGCCCTCCGAAAGTTTTGGTTGTGCATTTTTCATGAGAGGACAAGTAAACTGAGTAATTACTCGAAAAGACGCTAAGATAATCGTTGATAAAAATGAAAAAGTGTGTAATACAGATACTTAGCTATGTTAAATTTGAACCTAACTAGGAAGACGGAAAGCGTTAAAATCCTTCGCGAATAAAATATTTTAAGAATCACTTAACATGGGAAATAATGTATGTTGGGAGTATCCAAAAATGGAAATTATGGTGGTTTTGTGGAAGGACGCTTTTCAGGGGAAATAACAAAGTTTGATAATTCTAATACATAAATTGTCCTTCGCTTTGTTTCAGACAATTATTGCTATTATTGCTGGATCGATGTTTTGTATTAACTATCCATATTGGCATTGTGATGCGTTACAGGAGAGGCGATTAAATGTCGTTTACTTCTGGCACGATA